GTGACGTAGTACGACCAGTGACGTAGTACGACCAGTGACGTAGTACGCCATTCATACTGTCCTGTGCACGTAAAGCTTGTGACTCCTCACCACCTGTTCAGTGAAACAGGAAGGAGGAGCGTTTGTGTTTGTATCTGTGCGAAACACAAGGAGGAAAAAGGAATGGCTCTCAAATGTCTGCGACTCTATTCCCGTCATTCGTTTTAAAAGAGTTGTTAAAATGATCCGGCTTGTTTGTAAATGCCCATAAAGATGGCACAATTAGTCCCTCGATACTTTGCGGTTCGACATTCGCAGACTCACTCTTTTGTGGGTTTTCAACGTAAAATTGTACACGACACACGACTGGCGATGGGGAAAGACAGACCCCACCCCTCCTTTCTCTTTCTGAGGCTGTCACAGCAGAGCAGAGACACACAGCAGCATGTCTCTGCTCTGCTGTGACAGCCTCAGAAAGAGAAAGGAGTGGGCGAGGCGAGGGGTCTGTCTAATGCCTGAATGAGCAGCATGAGCAGCATGAATTGTTCATCTAGAATAATAAAGCGCGACCCGAATCGATCCTTTAGGAACGAGCAGGAACAAGAATGCTGGATGCTACAGGCATGAGGCGATCAGACGATCTGGCAGGGAGGCAGCGACTGGGGAGCGCTTAAGAAGCGCAGCACACAGGTGCAGCAGGAGGGAGACAGGTGATGAGCATGAGTGTGACTGTGGCGGAGAAGTGGGCGTGGCAGAGAACGTAGATCATGACATGCTGTGTTATTTTAGAGCGTTTTGAGTTTAGAACAATTTTAAGAATATTGCTAAATTGTAGGAAGGGTTTATAAAGCATTAATATATATATAAATACTAAAATAAATATAATGTCCCTACTTTGCTGATTTTCATCTATCGCGGGTGTGTCTGGAACGTAACCCCCGTAATAAGTGAGGGACTACTTTAAGCCTCTGCGCATCAGAGCATAATTAAAACAAATAAGTTACACAGTCTGCCTAAATCAAGTTCCAAATGCTGTCTTTAAGATCATTTTATAAGAACTGAGGGTTTAGATTCATGATGTTTACAAACCAACATTTTCCTCATCTTCTGTCACCACCATCATCTGAACCAGGCTGGGCATCAAGGCACTGAGAGCAGCAGAACATGACCGGAGACTCTAAAACCAGAACTACAGTTGGTTAAAGTCCTTTTCATTATGATACATTTTAGATAGAGAGCGTGTAGTAAAGAGGTGAAAAAGTCCAGAATGGAGAAAAGTTTCAAGAGTGATTTGCGACAAAAGTGTGTCAGCAAAGATTAAAGGAAAAGTTTACAAGACAGTGGCGAGACCAGCTATGTTGTATGGTCTGGAGACAGAGGCATGGACAAAAAGACAGGAGACAGAACTGGAAGCAGCAGAAATAAAGATGTTGAGGTTTTCCTTAGGAGTGACAAGGATGGATAAGATTAGGAATGAGATCATCAGAGGTACAGCACAGGTTGAACAACTGGGAGAGGCCAGAAGTTAGAGAGGCCAGACTGAGATGGTTTGGACATGTCCAGAAGAGGGACAGTGGTTTGGACATGTCCAGAGGAGAGATAGGGGTACATTGGTAGAAGGATGTTAGAAATGCAGCTGCCAGTAAAAAGACAAAGTGGAGATATATGGATGCAGTTACAGAGGACATGGATGTAGTTGGAGGAGGACAGAGTGAGAGGGATGACTTGCTGTGGTGACCCCTGAAGAGGAAACAGCTGAAAGAAGAAGAAGAAGATATAGGGATAAACGATAAACGGTGGTGCAGTTGTTAGAGCTTCTCAGTGAGGTCACATGTTCGCCTCCCGCTCTATGTGTGGAGTTTACGTGTTCTCCCCATGCTGTGTGGCTTTTCTCCAGGCACTCCAGCTCTTGACATTAAACCTGATCTTCTGCGTGACTTTTGTGCGTTGCAGTGAAACGTTTCTTTACAGCCCTGCAGAACCAGGACTCTCAGCTGCAGAGCTGCTGACTGAACTGAGCTCTTCTTTGGCCCCACTGAAAGAGTCTTTTGTCACCAGGATCTGAAGCGACTCTTTCTGAAGAGGTTAAAGGTCACGCAGCGTTTCTGTGTCAGCATTCCGAGAAGTTTTTCACCGAGCAGAACAGCTGAAGTTCTGTTTTACACTTTTGTTTTTCTCCAGTGAAGCTGACGTGTATCTTAAATTAAATGTAAACATAATATTTATGTTTTATAGTTTTCTTATTGATTTTAAGATTATTTGAGCCACTCCTGGTTATTAAGCTGAATTTACTGACTTTTATAACTCAAAGCTCTGAAATCCTCCAGCCAGATTCTCTCAGTGCAGCCGAGGGTCAAACAAAAACTCAGAGGGGTTCTGTCCCCAGATTCTGGACCTACCTGCCCTTTCATCTTCATCATGCAGAGTTTATACCAGAGGTGTCCAATCCTGGTACTGGAGGGCTTCTACCCTGCATGTTTTAGAGGTTCCTCTGCTCCAACACACCTGATCTGAATCAACAGGCTTCTGCAGAACATGAGGAGGAGATGAAACCATTGGGTCAGGTGTGTTGGAGCAGGAACACATGTAAAACCTGCAGGATGGTGCTCCTCCAGGACTAGGACTGGACACTCCTGGTTCAAACAGTCTTAAAACTCCTTTTTTATCTTGACTTTAATTTGAGTTCAGTTTGAGTTCCATCAGATTTTTTTAAGCTTCTTTATTTTCATGATTCCGTTTCTATTTTAGTCTACCTGTTGGTTTCATGGGTGATTTTCTGAATTTAATTTATAAATGTTTATCCTGTTTGTTTTCAGGCAGTTTGTAAAGCACTTTGGTTCTCAACCTCGTTGTTTTTAAGTGTGTGATAGAAATAAATTTGACCGTGACGTTTTATTTTGAAGGGTCGACTATCGTCCTGAAGAGGAAGTTTTCTGCCTCCCAGTTTTGGGACGACTGCAGGAAGTACAACGTTACTGTTGTCCAGTACATCGGAGAGGTGATGCGTTACCTCTGCAGCACTCCGAAGGTAAAACATTTATTCATAACTGGAGCCACAATCAGAAACAAAACAAATATTTTATTCTAAATAAAGAAGGGCTGTGTAAACCCTTTACAATCATGGGGCAAGTGTTTTGGGTTTTTACCATAACCAGATTAGCACCGTTTATATTATTTTATTCTCTGTTTTTTATTTCTTCTTGCATTTCTGCCGTGACGTATTTTAATAGTGCTTTGATATCTGTGGTTTTATTAGTTATTGTCTATGTGCTGCTGCCATTCTTGGTCAGATCTCTCTTGAAAAAGAGATTTTTAATCTCAGTGCTTAAATAAAGGTTTAAATGTATAATTTTCCATAAATACAAACGATTATTCGATGCGTTTACAGTTTCATACATACTGTATGTCCACCGTACTGTCATAAATTCTCATTGTATTTTGTATGGTGAATTATTTAATTTAATTTAAATATTTCACAAAGAGAAATACTATCAAGAGCTGTCAGTACGTGCTGTAACCACTTTAGTTTATAGGTTTAGTTTTTAATCCGTGCAGTGACGGGACGCGTTGTCGTCTCTTCTGTAAATCATCCTGCAGGAGCTGCTGCCGCCGAGCCACTTCCTGTCAGGGAGATCGGTCCAAATCTGTTCGTTCCCAACACACAGCTGGCTTACCAAAATAGGAATTGTTAAATCTTAAGCCTGGAGTTTCAGCTTTCAGTCTTCATTTGTGTGGAGCTTAAATCAAATAAAGAAACCTCTAACTTTGTTTCGTTTTGAACACTGAAACGGCTGCTGCGTGTTGTGAATCTTGTGTTTTGTAGTACTGTAAACATCCATTCAGGGGATCTGGTTCCATCACACGCGTCGCAGCAGGCGGCTTGTCTTTTTCTGGTCAGCGCCCAGAATAGACCCTACCCTTTGCTTCGGAGCTCCATATCAAGTGGCTCTGCAGCCATTTTTTTCTTCGCCTAACCTATAGTAAGCGTCGATAAAGGCCAAGCTGTGGCAGGAATTCTGCTTTGCTTTGCACTTTTAGAAGTCTGTATATTTGAAACCTTGAAGTAAACGTGATCAAACCAGACATTTTAACAACCATTTGAAATGTTTTTAGATGTTTTTTTTCCATATGAAACCGATTTTTTTAAATCTTCGTGGGTATTTTGATTTAATAACAAACATGTTGTACTTCATGTTTAAGAGTTCAGCTAATAAACCAGTTCTATGTCTTTGTCAATCTCTGCTTCAGTCTGTGGAGAAAAACTCCACCTGCTTCAACTCTTGGGTTTTACATGAGCACATTAAACCTGATCTGGTCTTCATCGGGTTCTAAAATTATCCAAATCTAATGTGAAGTGAATAAAAACGTCCAACAGAGTCCACCGAGTTGTTATTCATTCAACAGAATCTTGTTCTGTTCCAGTCCTGCTGCTTCCACTGGACCTCAGAGGTTCAGGAGCTGCTGATCAGCTGATCCTCCCCAGGGGGACCACCTTAGATCTTTCATTCAACCTTTATTTATACAGGTTAATCCCACTGAGCCTCAGGAACTCATTTACAAGAGACCTGATTTTAACAAATAGTGATGACAACAAAGTCAACAATCATAAAGGATGCGAACAAATTTTTTTTTTTAATTTATCTGGACCGTGTAGGTGTGTTAACACAGCACCAAGATGGAAAGACCGCAGCAATGACCTCAAAGAAGCAGCTGCTGCTGTCCATCAATCTGTGGAGTCAAAGGTCCTTTAGAGTCCATCGTTCTGCAGAGAGAAAGATTATTCACATTCAGACAGCTGATTCACCCTGAAGGTCAGACCGTGCAGTGCCTCTGTAGATCAAAGGGTTCTAGAGTCAAAGCTTGTTTGGACTGAACCATTGGCCACAAAACACCAAATCTGAGGTGTTGAGATGAGCTCCAGGAATGTTATTATTACTAACAGAATATTTTTGGTGCAAGTAAAATCATCCTATGGTTGATGATGTTAGTTTGGATGTTTTTGTTTGTTTGGTGTGTTAACGATGTTTCCACTCCAACCAAAGACCACTTCAGGTCAGACTCGAATCATTTTAGTACATGACAAAGTCCGGATCAGGTTCATCATGTCTTAAGATCCAAGAACTGAAAGGTGGACTTTATTTTTCTTGCAATTCTAAACACGTGTTTACACATTTGGATCATCTTTCAAAACGTTAAATGTTCGTTGTATTGTTTGAAAATTCAGAAAGAAAACGACAAGGAGCACAAAGTGAGGCTGGCCGTCGGAAACGGTGTCAGGGCGGAAATATGGAAAGAGTTTCTCAGTCGCTTCGGGAACATCCGGGTTCTGGAGTTTTACGCCTCCACAGAGGGAAACATCGGCTTTCTGAACTACACGGGAAAAATTGGAGCAGTTGGACGAGTCCACTTTTTTCACAAGGTAAGTATATCATCCACATACTTTTAAATACTTGAATGGTTTGAATATTTATCCACATACATTTGGTTGTCTGAACCCAGTCCGTCCAGAGGTATAACCTTAGGACAAGGCTCTGCAACCAGTGGCTCACATGTGGCTCTTTGTAGCTTTGACCAAAATAAGACAGAAATTATAAATATTTCTGTTTGTAAAGTAGTTTCTGCAGTTTTCTGTTCAGTTTTCTGTAAATACGTGAAAACAATTCTCTGACAAAATGAAACAGCCTGTTGTTTCTTTATATTCACATTAAGAACTTATTAAAGTATAAACTTGGCTGCGTAGTTCAGTGTTACATTTTATCAAAGGGAGTGGGAACCAAAAGTTTTTTGTTTCTAAAGAAATTATTTTCTTTGTCTTAACGTAAAAACACCAAGATGTCAAGGTTTTATTAAAAATCTTTTAATTGATGCAACTTGTTTCATTTTTAGAACACTTGATGAGTGACGTTGGCTTTATTTTACACTTTGAGTACATTTTGAGGCTCTGGAGCAAAAATGGCTCCTCGGACCGTAAACGTTGCCATTTTTTCAGCTGCTGAGGGATTAAAGAGCAATCCTTGGGAATAATCACGGGATGCAAGGTTTTTTATTTTATTTTTTTTGTTAAAGTTTTAATGAACAGAATCCTTCTCAAGAAAAATGTCAGTTTTGTTGGGATTTTAACAATCAAAGTGGAAACAGTTGTATGGGTGAGCGTCTCTTTGGTTCTGATTGTTTTGGACCCGCTGTGGTCCCTGTAAATATGAGCTGTCAATCAAAGGACACGAGTCTGAGCGGAGACATGGCACCTTGTAAACATGGAGCTCTGTGGAGTTTTATGGGTTCAGTCTTTGCTCCGACATAGTTGAATAGTTATTCCTATCAGAAGACACGGTGGGTATTGTTAGACTGCTTTCCTAAATAATTGAGTCAAACGTTCATCGTTTTAGTTAAAATTTGTTGATGTTCAAGACTTCGTTTGGGCTGAACTAACAGAACTACTGGTAATGGTGCGGTGTCCAATCCTGGTCCTAGAGGGCCACCATCCTGCATGTTTTATGTTTCCCTGCTCCTCAGCAGGTGTTTAAGTTCTGCAGAATCCTGTTCATCCGCATCAGGCGTGTCGAAGCAGAGAAACATGCAGGATAGTGGCCCTCCAGGACCAGGACTGAGGACCACCGTGTGCCACAGATGGAGGACTTCAGGTATCTGAGCGTTTTGTTCTGAGTGATGGCAGGACGGAGCGGGAGATGGATCAACAGAACACTGCCTCATCCTCAGTAATGAGGGTGTTGCTTTGGTCAGTTGTAGTGAATGAATAGTTTAGTCTAAAAGACAAAGCTCTGGATTTACTGGTCTATCTATGTTCCAACCCTGACCTGTGGTCATGAGGTTTGAATCAGGACTGGAAGAACCAGCTCTTGGATCCAAGCAGCAGAAATGATGTTCCTTGTTCTAATCTGGGGGGAGCTCGGAGTCGAGCCGCTGCTCCTCCAAAAAAGAGTCAGCTGAGTAGGTTCATCTGATCTGGATGCCTCCCTTTAGAGGTTTTCTGTGCTGTTCCACTTGGAAGAGACCCTGGGGCAGACCCAGAACTTTTTGGAGGGATTATGTATCCTCTCTGGTCGGTCCCCCAGGAGGTCTGGGTTTCTCTCCTGGACCTCCACAACTCGACCACCAATAAGCAGTAGAAGGTGGAGATGGAGGACTAACACAAGTTTTATTAAACTTTCATTCACCACCATGAAGCTCTTAGATGAGAGAACAGACTCACATTTAGATTTAAAGGTCCAATCCAGGTCCAGGTCCAGGTTTAAAGGTGGTGGTCCAGGTCCAGGTTTAAAGGTGCAGTGCTTATTATGACTCTGTGTTTTGGACACTAATGACTGTCATCTACGTTGCTCTTACAGAAGTTCTTCCCGTACACGCTGATAAAATACGACACGGAGCGCGACGAGCCAGTGCGAGGTTCTAACGGGCTCTGCATGGAATCATCCAGAGGTGACGAATGATCTCAGCTTGCTCGAACTGACGCGTCCTCTTTAGTACGTATTTTATTACAGTTTCAGGCTAAACGTGGCTGTTTTTGTAGGTGAAACGGGCCTGCTGGTGTCAAAGATCACAGAAATTGCTCCATTTGAAGGCTACGCCCAAAACCAGGAACAAACGGAGAGGAAAAAACTTCGAAACGTCCTGAAGACGGGAGACGTTTACTTCAACACCGGAGACCTGATGAGAATCGATGAGGACAACTTCATTTACTTTCAGGACCGAGTCGGGGACACCTTCAGGTCCTGGACTTCTCTTTTACCTGTCCATCTACTTCAGCTGACTTTGTACTATTTTAGCCGTTCATTTATCAAAACATTCGGCTCGTTCAGAAGATGAAAGCTGTGACTTTTATACTTTTCCAAATATTTAATTTCATTTATATATTATGTTCTCATAGAAACATTTTGTTCTCTTCAGTTCTTTCAAAAACTTTTCGTTTTTTTTATCTCTTTCAGTCTTCTTATGCTGCTTTTAGTTTTTAGCTACTCTTCTAGTACTTTTAGCTTTTAGCTATACTTTTTGCTATTTCCAGCTTCTAGCTAGAGTTTTCTAATTTTAGCTAGCTTTTTCTACTTTTGCTTTTGTTTGTGTTTCACTACTTTTAGCTATTATTTTGCTATGTTTAGCATTTAGCCAGGATTTTTGCTACATTTAACTTCTTGCTAGCCTTTTGCCACTTTTAGCTTCACCTTTTCCTTTTTATACTTTTAGCTTCTATAATAGAGTTCTGCTAGCTTTTTCTACTTTTTAGTTTCAGGCTGAAACCAACAATGCAGCTGAAACTTCCAGCTGCATTTTTGCTACTTTCAGTTAGCATTTTGCTACTTTGAGGTCTTAGCTAGAAGTTTGCTATTTTTATCTTTTGTTCAGACTTTCTACTTTTAACTACCCATTTTTAACTTTCCGCATTTATCTAGCTCTTTTGCTACCTATAGTTAGCCTTTTTCTGCTTTCAACTAGCATTTTGCTACTTTTACTTTTTTTAGCTAGCCTTTTGCTACCATCAGCTAGCATGTGGCTACTTTTAATCTAACCCTGCTGTATTTTTAACATGTAGCTAGACTTTTTGATTCTTTAAGCTAGCCTTTTTGTATTTTAAGCTAGCCTTTTAATCCTCATTCACAGACAGTTACATGATTGCCCACCTCTCTTGGACTATATGAAGCTCCAGCTGATGTGAAACTGTTTGAACTGGCAGGTGGAAAGGTGAGAACGTGGCAACAACGGAGGTGTCTGACATCCTCTCCATCAGCGACTGTCTGCAGGATGCTAACGTTTATGGAGTCCAGGTTCCAGGTGACCGACAATGTTGGTTTTTTTTTTTTTTTTTTTTTAAACAACTTAGAAAAATCTGAATGTTCAACAGAAATTATTTTTATCGCAGAGATCAAGATTATGGTACGTTTCCTGCAAAACATGTCAACCCTGAGTGCTGAATGTTAAAGTGAAAACATTAAGCTAAAATTACCAAAACCATGTTTAAAAGGCTCACATTAGCTAAGTCATAGCTTAAGGTTGAATTTAGTTAAATAGTAGCTAAAGACTCAAGTTAGATAAACAGTAGCTATAGGCCTAAATGTGCTAAGCAGTAACTAAAGGTTTAAGTCAGCTAAACAGGAGTTAAAGTCTAAAATTAGTTAAATAGTGGCTCCAGGCTTAAACTAGCAAAACAGTAAGTAAAAGATTAAATTATCCAAGTTATAGCTACATGGCTCAAATTAGCTGCACAGTAGCTAAAGGCTCAACCTGCTGCCTGAATGCTGACAACGTTCACACAATTTTTCTGTATTTTTTCCCTGTCGCGGAGTAAAAATGGAGAATTGTAAATCCCCTCCATATCTCCATTCATGCATGTTGTGATTACGATAACTTGAAAATAAGTGAAATACTGACGTCCATTTTTGTGTGTGGCTACATCTACATGAAGAAAGGTTCCTTTCAAAAATTGGGTTGCTAAGTCAAAATCCAAGATTGCCACCACCATACCATGTAATAACCTTTTTCATCTTTAGCAAACTACGCTTTTTAGTTTTTAGATTGCTTAAATGTATAGCTTCCTCAAAGGATTGGGGTGGCTGAAGATTAATTGAAGGTGGTCAAGGCCACCAGTGACCACCCCCTGGCTCCTCCACTGCATCTGGTGGTGGATAAAATGTCTCCTCTTCTCACCAGGATCCATCACTCTGCTTTGCCTCTGACAAGAAATAAAACCTTCCCTCTGTACTTCACAGTGAAGCTCCTGCCCACCTGAATATCTTGCACCAAAAACATTTAGGTTTACTTTCATTATCTGTTCAATGCCAGTCCAGAAAAACACTCATCTCTAAAACTACAAACGTTCACTCTTCAAACCCCTCAGAGACGAGGGAACCTCAGTGTACTGAATTAGTCTCATATACCGTATATACGTATATATATACAAAGTATATATATTTTATTTAGGACATGAGGGTCGTGTCGGGATGGCAGCTGTTACTGTGAAGAAAGATGAAGAGTTTGATGGAATTAAAATCTACAACCATGTGGTCAGCTACCTGCCTTCATACGCACGACCTCGTTTCATCAGGATACAGGTGAGGTCAACTTAAAAATGGCTTCATTTTATTACTGTTGGAAGAAACACTGAGGATGTTTGATCTGTAAAGCAAAAAGACATTGTTCTGTTGTAAACAGAAGTCTGTGATTGGTGTGTGTGTGTGTTCTACTCAGAGCGCAGTGGAAGTGACCGGCACCTTTAAGCAGATAAAAATGAAGCTGGTGGAGCAGGGTTTTGACCCAGGAAGTATCCAGGACCCTCTCTACATCCTGGATGATGGAGTAAAGAGCTATGTTCCTCTGAGCTCTCAGACCTACGACTCCATCAGATCAGGAAGCATCAAGCTCTGAGCTGTGCACGCTCTTCACACATTTTAGATATGTTTACCTTTCAGCTCAGGTCCGCAGCAGTTTTATCCTTATGCTTTAGTAAAAACAGTCATGTGATGTGTTCCTGTGAACGTGCTTATGTCAGCAGCTTCAATCTGCTCGAGGCGTGTGGGTGATATAGTTACAGACAAGCCATGGTATAAATAGTTTATTCACTAGAACACTGCCTGATTTCCAGGATGAGTTGCTTTGACAGTTATAGATGATGTCGTTCAACAAGTTCTTGGTTGTTCTAAGAAATGTAGCTTTTTATGACGTCTTTTGTGCAAGCATTAAGTGAATATTTCCTTTTTTAAATTCATATTCTGACATAACCATGCAGGAAGTGGCCTTCTGCGAAGTTTATATTTTGTACCAAACCTTGTAAATTTTAATGAATTACTAAGAAAATAAAGAGTCTTATTGTGAAAGTAAACACTTTTTTTTATTTGTTTCTCCTGTGATTCTACTCATCATTGTTCTATCATTTAGCTTTATTTTCTAAAGTTGAACCACAAGATGGAGCCAGAGAAGAACACGGACAGACTCGAGGTTCAACTGCAAATCAGAAAGTTTTGAGTGGACGTTCAATTAAAAAATATATATATTTACATTTATTTTATTGCAGATGTACCTTAAAGGTCAAGAAGATATGGAATATGTATAAAGAATACTTTAAGCATTGATTCAGACACTGAAAAATAATGTTAAATCTAAATATTTAAATATATATATATATTTTTTTACTCCAACGTCCTTAAATCTAGTAAATTTTATCACAACTTTATTTTGTAATGCGGCATGAAACTGGTGATTTCAGCCTCTTTTTGGAGATGCTCAAGCACCCCTAAATTTTAACTCGGCACCCCTGAAAAATAATGAAACCATCATTACAATTTTATAAGGAAGCTTAGTTCTCAAACCAAAATACTGAATAAATTTGGAATAAATATGGAGTAAGTACATGATGATACTCTTAAACGAGTCAGAAAAATCTACGATTTTTTTTGCACGAGCCAGATTTTCAGCACTACCTGTCAATCAATTCAGTAGGCTCATCAGCAACTGACCAATTGGCAACTGCAACGCCCCTTACCTGTAGAAGCTCGGGGGGATTAGGATGCGTGAGAGAAGCGGAGCATGCTCTATTCACACAAGGGGAGCTGTTGGTCAGGCTACATCTTGTTGCCTTGCTCTCTAAAATAATTGTTGAATCAAGTGTTTACTTATGTAGGTAAACATAGAAATGTAGTCAGCAAAAGCAGCCAATGAGATGTTCTGGAATTAAAGATACAGAAAGTTATTCCTTAATTTAAAAGTATATTTGAGACACTAGGTGTTCAGAGCTGCAGAAAACTTTGGACCGACTTTCATTTAGAAAAAAATAGCTTATGAGATGTTGTGTAACTGAATGTACAGATAGTTAGTCATTCATTCAATGATGACAAAGGTCAGACGAAACTAGACTGGGGGGGGGGGGGGGGTACGTTTTCTTCACAGCAAAACTCGGACCCCCTCAGTCCTCTTCTGGGTCACCAGGACTGATAGTGAACTCCTAATCACAATGATTGCATTTATTCTTTTGACCATTTTGCCTGTTTTACCAGTTTTGCTTTATTGGGGAAATCCTTATTTTCTGGAAGATTTGAAATGTGTAATCAGAGAAATTCAGATTAGGCGAGAATTTGGCAAAATCCTGAAGAATTTCTTCAGTCTTGTGGACTGTTTTCTGGACCAAGTGAAGAAGCATCCCCAGAAAACCTTCCTGGTGTTTGAGGACAGCTCCTACACCTACAGCCAGGCCGACAGAGAGAGCAACAAAGTAGCCAGAGCTCTGCAGACGCACACGCACCTGAAGGAGGGGGACACGGTGGCCCTGTTCCTGGGAAACGAGCCCCAGTTCGTGTGGGTCTGGCTCGGGCTGGCCAAACTGGGCTGTGTGGCATCTCTGCTGAACACCAACATCAGATCCAAGTCTCTGCTTCACTGCTTCTCCTGCTGCGAAGCCAAAGTCCTCATCACTGGAGCCGGTAAGATGGACCAGATCATTCAGACTTTTATCACTTAATAAGGCAGCTAATCAAAAATGTTTGTGCTTTAATTTCTTCACCTTAAGTTTTGATATTGTCATGAGACTATATGTAGGAGTCAGTAATTTTCCTTTTATAAAATTATTATGTTTGGTTTTGACTTTCTCTTAAATAATACATAAACAGCTTTCTAGAATCAGTGGTAAAAAAAATTACATTTTGAAAATTTCATCTATGTCACAGTTGGTAGGAGTTTGGAGCCAAGACTGCAGACTTGTATGAAGAGCTCAAGTGTAAAACTAAAATTTATTTAATCAAAGGCAAAATTTGATGTGGAAGCAAAAGTACTTTGACAAAAATGGGAAAATACTTGGGAGAGTTCATGGACACAAGAAGCACAAAGAGACCAGGGTATGGTAAGAACACCAATAATGCACTACTGATATGAAGATGGACTCTGACAAAATAAATATGCTGAGACTAACGAGGGATAGTGGCTACAGCTGTGACATGGGAGCAGGAAACAAGTGAGGGTGGGCGTGGCAGGATGACTGAGGAAAACAAAACTGACAATTAACTGAGGGGGAAATGAAGACACAGAGGAACACCATGGTAGACACAAGTAAACATAACTAAACAACGCAATTTTAAATGAACATAACCCTGAAACACAAATAACTATAAACAAAATCACAGATCCTGACAGTATCCCCCTTCTAAGGGACGTCATCTGATATTTCAAAAACAAAACTACTCCGACTCCAGAGGAAGGAGGGATAAACCAGGACAGAGGGACGAGACCCCAGGGAAAACCCAGGTCACGCTGGAGAGACTAAGGCTCTTGGTTGGCCTGGGAACGCCTTGGGGTGCTTCTAAAAGAGCTGGAAAAGGTGGCTGTGGAAAGAGATGTCTGCGCCTCCCTGCTCAAGCTGCTGCTCCGTGACCCAACTTCGCAACAAGGGGAAGATAATAGATGGATGGGTGGATATAAGTGAATATGACATTAAGTACATTAAAATAAGTTATCATCCTTAGGCAAATTAATGTGGGGAAGACTTAGAATCCTAAAAGGCTACTACCTTCAGGCAGCACAAACTATACAGCTACATTAAAAGTCTGCAGTTATTGAAATGTTTCACAGCTCCTTCCAGGTTCTCAGAAGAAGACCAATGAGGACAAAACTGGACAGCCTCCATCAAAGGACATTGGACAGTATGACCAGGTTAGAGAAGAGTGGCTCTACAACAAGCTAAAATTGCACAAAACACAACCAAGAAGAGAGAAACCAAACACCAAAGTCACTCTTGGGGTTGTGGTCCAAGTGAAGAAGTACAATGATCAGTTGTCAGTACAGCAGCAAACTGGTCTGAGTTCATTCGTTCTCAGTGATATTAAAAGAAAGAATGCATGACGACTGCCGCTTTGCCTAAATGAAATGACAAACCCCCAGAAAAAAAGTCAATTTTTAAATTGGATTTCACTCTCATAGATGTACACAATGTGCAGCACCTCTTCAACCTTAGCCTGACCCAGCAGAAGGTTCCAGTGTTGTGGAAAACATCCTGCCTTGTTCCAGTGCCAAAGAAAACTCACCCATCAGTCTTCAATGACTATAGACCTGTTGCCCTGACATCCCACATCATGAAGGTCCTAGAGAGACTTCTGTTGACCCACCTGACTAGACAAACAAGCACATATCAGGACCCACTGCAGTTTGCTTATCAGCGTGAACTTGGAGTTGAAGATGCCATCATACATCTGCTTCAGCAAACTCACTGTCATCTAGAAAAGGCAGACAGCACTGTGAGAGTCATGTTCTTTGATTTCTCCAGTGCATTTAACACAATCCAGCCTGATTTATTTGTCAGAAACTCCAGAAGACTCAGGTGGAGGCCTCAACAATCACCCGGATCAAAGACTACCTGACAAACAGACCACAGTTTGTGAGACTGAAGAGTTGTGTGTCTGACCAGGTGGTCAGTAGCTCAGGAGCACCACAGGGAGCTGTACTCTCACCATTCCTTTTCACTCTGTACACCTCAGATTTCCAGTACAAAACAGACTCCTGTCATCTGCAGAAATATTCAGATGACTCTGAAGTGGTCGGGTGTATCAGAGATGGACAAGAAGCTGAGTACAGGGAACTGGTGGACCACTTTGTGGCATGGTGTGGAAACAATCATCTCATCTTGAATGTGAACAAAACAAAGGAGATGATTGTAGATTTCAGGAGAAATAGGAACAGGTCCAACCCTATTTCCATCATGGGAGAAGAAGTGGAGGTGGTGAAGTATAAATACCTTGGAGTTCACCTGGCCAACAGACTGGACTGGAAATGCAACAGTGAAACCGTCTACAAGAAGACACAGAGCAGACTGTACTTCTTGAAGAAGCTTGTCTTTCAATGTTTGCAGCAAGATGTTGCATATCTTCTATAAGTCTGTTGTAGAGAGCGCCATCTCTTCTGCCATCATCTGCTGGGGGAGCAGCACCAGAGCAAGTGACTTAAAAAAGATCAACAAGCTCATGAAGAAGGCTGGCTCAGTTCTGGGAACTCCTCTAGAACCTTTGGAGATGATTGTTCAAAGAAGGATTTTTCATATAATGAAGAACATTATAGACAACCCTCAGCATCCTCTTCATCAGACTGTCATACAACAACAAAGTGTCTTCAGTCAGAGGCTTCTTCAAATCCGTTGTAGGACAGACGCTACAAGAGATCCTTCCTGCCCACAGCCATCAGCATCTATAACAACTCATTAATGAAACCAGGATGATGAGTTACCGCAACATATAATTTCCCTCTGGGATTAATAAAGTATTTTTGAATTGAATTGAATTGAATTAGAAAGTATTTTATACAGTACATGGTAATACAAGATATATTTAGTGGTCACCACAACCCAGTTGAGTGTGTATCTGATAAACACCTGAATCTAAACACCTGTGTGAGCATGCTTTTCACTATAAGGCTTCTCCATAAAAATGTTCAATAGTGGATGTGGGGACCCACAGACCCGTTCCCACAGGACACGATGGCAACACAGAAAAATCCAGAGCCACAGACACACAGCAGCCCCCTAGCCCGGAGCTCTGGGAGTCCCCCATCAGGGGCAACCCAACAACCCCACACCACAGGCATGGAGAAGCATGCCACCTACACCCCCAGCCCCCATACACAGGACCCCTCACCGCGAATGTCACACCAGGCCAACCAGCCAGTGCCCCATCAAAGCAAAGCCATGCCCCCGACCGCCGCCATACACCACAAACGACCACACACACACACAACCACAGCCGACCCCCTGCCGGAACTCGGCAGCCACCCCGGTCAAAGGGCTGGCCATCGCAACCAGGAACCCTGATCAAAAAATACGAACAACGAAGATTTTCTATCAGAGTTTTTTATTTTATTCTTTCTGTGATCTGTTTTAACACGTTTTTTGTTTCACACACCAGTTGTGTCATTTAATTGTTACCGCTCTCTCCTCTGTAACGATTTCACCCATTCATTTAACCTTTATTTAGACAGGTTAATCCCATTGAGCCTCAAGGACTCATTTACAAGAGAGACCTCACAAATTCATCTGCTTTGCTTTTGTGTGTCAGAACTGCGAGGAGCTGTAGAGGAGGTGCTGCCGGCCCTGAGGGAGCAGGGTGTCCGTGTGTTTCTCCTCAGTGAGAGCTGTGATGTAGAGGGCATGGAGAGCCTCTCTGACCACATCCAGCAGGCCTCAGATCAGCCTCTGTCTCCACAGCTGAAGGCCAACATGAACTTTAAAACTCCAGCGTTATATATCTACACCTCAGGGACCACAGGTAGTCAGACTAACCTGACCTTCTTCACCTGCAGTCAGTGCTCTGATCTGAGTCTGTTTTAAAGATATAAAAGCACAAACAGCAGTGTTGATTTTTAGGACTTCCCAAGGCAGCTGTTGTTATCCACCAGAAGTTATGGAGGGCATCTCTCATTGCTTCTAATGTTGGTGTTCATTCCAACGATGTCCTTTACTTAAACATGCCGCTGTACCACAGTGCAGGCTTCATGTTGGGACTCTGTGGAGCCATAGAAAGAGGTAACAGGAAACAAATAACTGGAGTCTGGCTAAAGTCTTGGCATGATCTCATCTGTGAAATCTGTGTGTCTCTCTCGTTCCAGGCTGCACTGTTGTTCTGAGGCGCAAGTTCTCTGCTTCCAACTTCTGGAACGACTGCAGGAAGTACAACGTGACTGTCATTCAGTACATAGGAGAGACCATGCGTTACCTGTGCAACATGCCAAAGGTTGAACACCAGTTAATCTTTATTCAGGATTTACCGTTGTGTAATGATGTGTTTGTGCTAGAGTTAAATTATGGTTAGGATTAGGCAGTTAAGCATTTTAAGAGTTGTGTACTAAATAACTACATAAATGCAACTAAAACGTCCCTGAATCATGTTAATATCAAAATAATGATATACTGTAATTTCTGGACTATTGAGTGCAACTGAATATAAGCTGCACCCTCTAAATTTAAAAAGAAAATTAAATTTTTACGTAAATAAGCCGCACTTGTCTATAAGCTGCATGTCTTCACATTGTAACGAGATATTTGCACAGAAAGGTTTTTTTTTTTTTTTTTACTTTTAACTAAATACGTACTGGTGCCACGCACAAATACAGTAAATGTTTTATGTTCTGAAACAGACAGTAACAGCTGATTTGAAAAAAAATACAGTAGTCTACCAGGAAGTCATTGATCACTACCCTTCAAGAGAGACGTGTATTGGGCAGCTATGAGAGCGCCTGGGTGTGACGAAGCTAAATGTTTTGGTGGCATGAAGCTTGTTAGCCCATCAAAAAAAAATCCATAAATTAGCCGCAGCATTGTATAAGCCGAAGTATTCAAAGTGTGTGAAAAAAGTAGCGGCTTATAGTCCAGAAATTACTGTAGTTCAGTATCTTCAACATGAATCAGAGTGCTCACTAAGACCTTCAACACCAGTCAAACTGCTTGATAAGACTTTTTCTACTCTTTTCTTTTATTTTTCAGAGGGACAACGACAAGGACCATAAGGTGCGACTGGCTGTGGGGAACGGAATAAGGGCCGACACCTGGACAGAGTTCCTGGAGCAATTTGGGAACGTCCGGATCTGTGAATTCTATGGAGCGACAGAATCCAATGTTGCCTTTGTAAACTATACTGGAAAAGTTGGAGCTATTGGCAGGGAGCATTTCCTCCACAAAGTGAGAAAGTGTCCAAACACGTTTATAACATGCATTAAGTAATAAACATACTCATTCATGATTTATTCCTTTTTGTTTCTTTTCATTCTTTTTCAGTTAAGAAACCCGTATGCCCTGATAGAGTATGACACAGAGACAGAGGAGCCCATCAGAGACTCAAGAGGATTCTGCATTAAAGTCCCAAAAGGTGACCTGTTAACTTTTAAAACCAACGTGCTCTTTTATTCTTCCTCAGGTATAACTGTTTGTTTTTCCTCCTCTCAAGGAGAGACAGGTTTGCTGGTGGCAAAGATCGGAGTAAGAACGCCTTTCTTTGGATATGCCAAGAACGAGCAGCAGACAGAGAGGAAGAAGCTGAAGGACGTGTTTGAGAAGGGAGACGTCTACTTTAACAGTGGAGATCTGTTAAGGATCGACAACGAGGGATTTATTTACTTTCAGGATCGGATTGGAGACACTTTCAGGTCAGTGGATGAAACAAAGAGCTGCTGGAAACAGTTTTATAAATGAACAGTTAATGCTGTTAAAAGGTTATTACATGAACCTGAAGATATTTTACACATTCATCTGGTAATCATGAATCATCTATATCGATTTGCTTCTTGTTTTACTTAAAAATTAAGTGTACTTAATGCAGACTTGTCAGAACAATCAGCCAGCCACTGTTCAAATTTTCAGTGACTCTAAAGATTTGGGATCTTTTGGACCAAAAAATTCAGCCAACACAGAATAAAGTGATTTACAATTTATTAATTTTTTTAAACTGAAATATTGCAGCTCTGGATATGGGATTGCCAGAACTGTGTGCAAATCTAAAGCAGAGAGAGAGAAGAATGAGTAGTAAATTAAGTATGGTTAACATCCTACTCAAGGTTCAAGTTCTTTATGGTCATTCACATCACATGAGGTACATGAGGTGGAACAAAATTGTGTACTCAAGGTCCCAGTTACACCCCAAATTTGCAAAAATATAAAGTATAAAAAGAAAAAGTATACAAGGATCTAATTTATACACTAAGATATACAGTAAAGAACGTCAAACGGTATGCTAAAAGATCTAAGATATACGCTAAACACTAATAATGTAAAATAATACGTTATATTAAACAGCAGCCTGAACATGAGTCTGATAGATAGGTACAAGAATATGGAAGGGTTGTGATCACAATGACTAGACTTGGCTTGAAAATGCTGGATTTTTTTCTGCATGAAACTTCAGATAATCTGGCACCTGTGCTGTGGCTGGAAGGAGCTTATTTCCTGGAAAACACAGGTGGAGGTAATTAGACAGGCATACGTGAGCCTGGATATGTGATATGTAGTTCTGGGTAAGGAATGCAATGAGAAGCAAAACCATTCTTAGAAACAGTCAAGAAATTATATGAATCATGACAGTACCTTTGAGTTTGACAGGTTCTGTATCTGGCTTGATGTGCAGCAAAGCTTTTGGCCAACAGTTGATTCCAATCAGCTTCAAAAGGCCTCATTAGTCAAGTTGTGGGTAAAAACACACAGCAGATTCAAATTTTACACTCATTTTTTTCATTTAACCCTGCGGTCTGATTGTCTGTTTTGAGTTAATGTCAGGACAGTGAAAATTTAAACAGATCCCATAATAAGTTGCTTTAGTCTTTCATGAAGAGAAACTGGCTGTATTTGGTGGTTGATGCAGGTGGAAGGGAGAAAATGTGGCGACCACAGAGGTGGCTGATCTTTTGCTGACAGTGGACTTTGTTGAGGAGGCTAACGTCTACGGGGTGAAGGTGCCAGGTAATCAGAACATCCGACCCGGTTCTTTCAGGGTAAACAAACACAGTCTTTACATTCTTGTGAGATGACCTAAAATATAAAAAGGTAGAGAAATAAAAAAAACGGTTTTTTTTTTTACAAATAAAGAAAAGCTACTGAAGCATACTAATAAAACAAATAACCAAATGGGGCACAAACTAAACGTAAAGTGTTGGGGATGACTCTCAGCTACTACTGCACCAAATTTTAGCTCAGTTTTTTTTTAAGCTGAAAGAGTTGTTGCCATTTCTGTGCTCCCTTAGGTGGACTAGCTGTGGCAGCCATCTTGCGTTCTGTTGATTCTGAAGTATCAGTTTATAGGCATGCATCCAGTGGTTATTTCTGAGTTTCAGAAACAGCCACCCTGTGGATTTTGTGATATTTTGCTAACAGACAAATAAACAGACCATTCACCTTTCTTGGCAGTGGGCATTAACCATGCAACACATTTGTAATACTACTTTTTGACTATATAAAACTTAGTACTGAGGAAAACAGACTCTAAAATATTTTTTATAATGTTGTGTCTGATCAGGGTATGAAGGAAGAATTGGAATGGCAGCTCTGACGCTGAAAGAAAACGTGGATTTTGACAACAAATTAATTTATCAGCACGTCAAAAACTACCTCCCGAGCTACGCCAGGCCACGCTTCATACGTATACAGGTAAAAGAAAAACCTGCTGCACTCAACATACGTGTGTGTGTGTATATATATATATATATATATACATATACATAAATACATAAATATAAATAAATACAGCTTTATGCCTGATACCCAATCATTTTCACTGCAATCAAGAATTTTATTCATGTGACCAGAGTGGTCCATCCATGAATCAGACTAAAAAAGACCCTAACGATCCTCTATTGTGAGGAGTGAGAAGACAATCTGCATGTGTCAGTCTGCAATCTGCAAGTTTACAGATGAGAAGTGAAATGTTTTCAGCTACGGAATAGAAGTCCAGTTGTTTTTGCCTTTAATCTTTTTTGGATTTACCAAGTCCTGGATGACTGAGAATCTACACCAGCATACGTACAGAGTGTGAAAAGACAGAGACGGTCTGCGTTTGTAAAAACATAATGAGTGAAATTAATTGACGGGGCACACTTTTTAAATAATATGTTTTAAACTTTAGATTATGGGTAAAATATCTTGGGTATAATATTTTGTTCCACCACATGTACCACATGGGGTGCGAATGACAATAAAGAACCTTGAAAATATCAAGTATTTTCAAGTAAACAGGTCAAGTCAAGTCCCATGTCATTGGCGTAAAGTCCAAGTCAAGTTGTAAGTCTCTGAATATTTTATAGAGTCAAGTCTAAAGTCATAATATTAATGACTTGAGTGAGTCTGACTCGAGTCCAAGTCATGTGACTTGAGTCCATACCACTGTGTAGTACAACCAAAAACTGTATAAAAATGTAAAAAACAACCAAAAATTGTAGATGTATTTGTCTTTGTTTTTCTGGGGCAGGATGCTCTGCCGGTGACTGGAACGTTTAAACAGCTGAAGAAAAAGCTTTCTGCAGAGGGTTTCAACCCCAACGTCATCCAGGACCCTTTATTCTTCCTGGAGGACAACGAAGGCTACGTCTCCATGAGCCAGGAAATATTCAGCTCCATCTCAGAAGGAACACTCAGGCTCTGAAGGACTGCAGTGGACTGTCAAGTCCTGCTTTTAACGTCATACAAGATGCTTATAGAACATTTATTTTATATGGAACAGTAGTAATAAAATCATTCCACTCTTATTTAATGAATTCATCAATGTAGTCTGTGCAGGTAGCAGAAGTTTCCAGTTTTTGTTGATTTATAGGTCCTTCTTTTCCTACTGACCACATCTTCTGGATCATCAGATGTTCCCTCTGATTAAAGGTCTTGGTCTTCCTTGTTTTTCTGCAGGTTTCTCAAAGCAAAATGACCCCCCACTCCGGACAAGCGTCAGTCTTGAGGAGGGAGGCCCCTGTAAACTGGATGAACCAGTGAATTTCTGCAGGCATGAGGGATTCTACAAGAGCCTTTTATCTGCTCATCCTGATTTTTCCCATTTTGTCATGTATTTTGTTTTGTTCCTAAAGATGGTGGGGAAGCTATTTCTTTGAAAGCACTGAGCACTTGGACACTTTTAATCATGTTGGGCTGGTTGTTCTGTATATGTCACGTGTCTTGTCTGTGGAAGATGAAGCTGACTTGCTTCTCTGTAACCGACTCTACCTATGGATACAAATAAAGTTGAATGATCAATTAAGATGTTTTTTGTCATATGATGAGCAAAGAAATGACACCAGATAGCACCAGAGAGTAAAACTTCCAGAGATTACTTTTTTTTTCCTCTTGATTTCTGGCCACTGATGCTCAAGAGGAGTTGGGATCCTATAAAAAATAGATATACTTTTGAAGCATTTTACATCACTAACCAAGAAAATTTCAGTAAATACAACTTCAATACAACAGTTATTAAGTTGTAAAATATAATAAATATTCAAATAAACTAAAAATTTTACATTGTCAACTCCAAATCTGGTAATTGTGATTATATGGAGCATGCAGTCAAAAGAAAACAGAATTATTCTTGTTTATTTTAGATCCTGGTAAGAAATTAATCAGTTTTGTCCTAAAACCCCAGAACTGACAGAGAGTGGACTTTATTTCATTCATGACTTTTTGGACAACCTCTCCCCAAATGTATAAACAGGTGAACCAGATCCTCAGACCAAGTCTCGGCTGGTTATCTACATTTTTAGGATCAGGGCCAGTCGTTTTAGGACAGTAATGTGTTTGTTGTGGACACACATTAAAAATGTAAAAACAGCAATAATTGAGGGGGGTGTGGGGCTAACTTTAATTCTGACGTTCAATCTGGACACAGACGTGCAGGTTAAGGTTCTGGGTTTGCGCTGTGTGCAGTGGCACAAAAGACTAAATCAATGGAAGAGTCTGTCTGTACGAGCTGCTGGAAACACACAGCTTTCTGGGAAAGACTCGTGTTGCTCCCAGTCAGACAGAAGAGCATCTGTGAAGTCCAGCTGGGATCCAAAAACTTAGAACTTAGTTTTTAGGAACCTGGGATCTCAGGACCCAGGGAGCTCAGGAGCCTAGGTTTTTAGAACACAGTGACCTAGAAACCCTGGGATCTCAGAACCCTGGATTTTTAGGACCCATGGATCTGAGCATCTGATTGGAAAGCTGAGCACGCTGGGCCTGACCGCCTCTCTCTGCAACTGGATCCTGGACTTTCTGACTGGAAGACCTCAATCCATCCAGATTGGAAAGAACACCTCCAGCACCACCACACTGAACACATGGCGCTCCCCAGGGCTGTGCATTCAGCCCACTGCTGTTTACTCTGCTTACTCATGAGTCATGACTGTACAGCAATGCACAGCTCAAATTCCATCGTGAAATTTGCAGATGACACGACTGTGTTGGAGCTCATTAGCAATAACGATGAATCAGCGTACAGAGAGGAGGTGCAACGGCTAACGGACTGGTACAAAGTCAATGACCTGTCTCTGAATGTTGACAAAACCAAAGAGATGGTCATTGACTTTAGGAAAACACCAAGGCGACCACTCCCCATTAAACATCTACGAGTCCTTCATGGAGATTGTCAAGAGCACCAAATTCCTTGATGTTCACCTGGCGGAGGATCTCACCTGGACCCTTAACTCCAGCACCACCGCCAAGAAAGCTCAGCAGTGTCTCTACTTTCTGAGGAGACTGAAGAAAGCTCATCTGCCAGCTCCCATCCTCACCACCTTCGACAGAGGAAACTTTGAGAGCATCCTGAGAAGCTGCATCACTGTTTGGTTCAAGAATTGTACTGCATTGGACCACAACTCTCTCCCACGAATAGTGAAGACAGCTGAAAAGATCACCATCTCTCATGGACATTTTCAACAACCGCTGCATCTGAAAAGCTCTCAGCATTGTGGAGGACACATCTCACCCATGACATGGACTTTTTACTCTCCTGCCATCTGGGAGAAGGTACCACAGCATTCGGACCAACACAGCCAGACTGTTTAACAGCTTCATCCCACAAGCCATCAGACTACTCAACGCTAGTCTCTGACACACACACACACGAAGGACTCTGATACACATACATGATGGACTCTGTTTCAAAAACCCAGGGCTTCAGAAACCCAGGGATCTCAGGACCCTGGTATCTCAGAATCTCTTGGTTTTAAGTAGGGGTTGAATAGACTAGTCGACTAGTCTATTATTGACCATTTTGCGAGTTTAAATATTTCACAGCGACTAGTTGCAGTCACACCCCATCCCAGCTGTTCCCAGCCCTATTCCACCCAATCCACAATTAAATTAAATAAAAGAGCAGGGCGGAGCGGTCATTTCTAACACGGCCGCGTCAGCCCAAGCCAAAATAATCTGCTGGATGGGCGGGCCGGGTTGGTGTCAGGCTTTTGATTGCATCAGCGGGCACACGTGGCTGATGATCCAATTTGGATCACCACCAGCCGCACTGACCGGCCGGTTAAGACAGACAGAAAAGTCCAGATGGATGACTGCCAGTGACTCACCAAAAGC